GCAAAAGACATTTTTACAAATTGGTTTGGCTCTGCAAGATTCAACAGTGTCATCATCTTAATATATTGATATGTGGTTAACTTGTAGGTCCTGTGTTAGATACTTAAAACTACTGTTAAAAATGCTAACATGTTCAACTTTGGACCTTTGTTACGCGTGTGGAATTAATGGCAGGAACTATGTGGTGCAATACATAATAGAACAGAAGATGGAAGCAGTTAGTGTAATGTTTGAGTTGAGAGGTAACTACGTGAAATTGGCTACACAGAAGTTCAGTAGCCATGTGGTGGAGAAATGCCTTAAACATTACCCAGGGAGCAGAGCTCAGATAGTGCGCGAGCTCGTCTCTGTTCCAAACTTTGGGCATCTTCTTCAAGACCCTTTTGCTAATTACGTTATCAAGTCCGCTCTATCCGTAACCAAGGTCAGTCATGTGATCATATTTCCTTACGTTTACAAGAACTATAGTGAACATGGTGTTGGATTGGATTTGACCAGGGACATGTTCGGGAGAGCTTGGTGGAGAAGGTACGAAGATATGGAAACCTTAGGACGAGTCCATATTGCAAGAAGATATTCTCCAGGAGCAACCTCTTGAAGATGTGACTTTGGAATTAACCTCTGACGCAAGAAAAGTGTTTGTTGTTTTGCTCAAGAATTGCTCATGTAGGACTGACTCGTTGATCCCATACAAGACAAAGAGCCCTTTTTGTTGTCTCTGTATCTGTTTGGTTTGTTGTTAATTGTTTTGTAATTTTGAAAAGTTGGAAACTGACTAAACGAGTCATGTGTTGTTTAGTGGTAAAACCTGTTGCTCTTCTGAGTAAAAACGAGTAGTCATCATTTGGACTAAATTTGCCTCATGGTAAGAACAACACATTTGAGATTGGTGTTGATAGCCGTGCCTACTCATATAAATTTGAAACATTGCTTTGGGCATCATTTAGTATTTAAGGGCATATTGACAAATACTTTTATTTTTCTGGTGTAAAGTTTGTTTTTTCCTTTATAAATACCTACCAAAATTCAAAGTTAAAACTATTTTATTCTAAAAACGTTTAATTATTAATTTTTGTATTTATTCTCACACTTGTTTAGATTTACTTTTAAATTTATTTTTCACTAACTTATTACTTATTATTTGTTAGTCAATTTTTATCCATTTACTTTTGTTTATACTTTGCAACTTTAATTGTACATATTTTTTCTCTATATAAAATACCGTATTCCGTATATCATAGTATTATATATATTTATATTGTTTGTTTCATTTATTTATAAACAATTTTCTATTAAATTTGGTATTTTACTTACTATCAATATTTAAATACTAAATTGCAGTTTTTATGTTGTTTATGGCATCAAAAACTCTAGACACGGTTTGATTAGGTTTTCGATCAAGGCATAGCAGCTCATCAAGGTTGGTTAGGTTTTTGGTCTCAGGAGGAATACTATTAGATAGGGTTAACCAGAGAGATAGTTGATAAAGAGGTAGAGCTTAACTAGTTTGGTGAGGTTTCCTAAGGAAGAAGGTATTGGTCCAATTAACAAATTGTCGGTACAAGGCTATTTCTTGAACCTCAGCTAAGAGACCTTTCTCGGATGGAATTGACCCGTTTAACTTGTTTTTGACAAGATGGAGAGTTTCTAGGTTACTTAAATTTCTAAACCCTAAACCCAGATGGGATTTCCCCAACTAGCTGGTGTATGGACATATCAAAATAGATGAGTTTAGAGAACTGTCTGAATTGAGGAGGCATGGTTCCAGAGAAACGGTTCATGCTAAGATCAATATAAGTGAGGATGGGGAGAGAAGAGAAGGGAAAATCTTGGAAAGTATCTTCGATACTGGTATTTGTGGATGGTAGATCCTACACAGTTAGATTTGTTAAGGGTTGAAAGAGGAGGACTAAGACTTCCAAGTACGAAATCACAGAGAGCAAAGGTTGAAGATGATTTTATTGCTGTTCTTGCTTAAGCCGTGAAAGTACAAACGTTTTTTGTAAAGAATTGCGGATCCCTTTCTCAAGGTAAATACATTAGTATATATAGTCCACTAGGTCGGCTAGGTCAACCCTAGGAAAAATAGGAAGCTTTCCTTTCTTTGAGGTCGGCCAGGCCTAATGGGTTGCATTGCCCAACTCGGCCAATTTCGTCATGTCTTGGACTCGGCCCACCTCGTCGCTTCTTGGGCCTCACCTCGTAACGGGCTTGCCTTGTGGGCTTCCTGCTTCTGCAAGCCCACTTCTCCAATACGAACTTGCCTTTCCCACCAAGTAGTGTTCTTGGACTCGCCAGCACTGCCATTCGAGCATCATCACGTAATTCATCTTGCCGAGTCACCTCGTCGTTCAGTCCGCCTTGCTAGGATAGATCACATCGTCTGTCTTTGACTTAGTTGGTTCACCCAGTCATCCTTGACCCAATTTTCGTACTTAGCCATTTTCTGCTTTGATCTTACCGGGGTGGAATTTGATCCCTACAGTATTTGTGAGATTTGACCGTATGATGTTCCCGCATAAGCAAGAAACACCATACCAACTGGTACAAAAACGGTTAGTGTTAATCAAAAAAGAAAATGAAGATCAATACCTCAAATTTGCATCTTCATTTTTTTTTGCAACACCTAAACTTATGAAACGGTGTTATAGGCGTTGAATCTAAGACTTAATCATATGATCAATTAAACCAAAGTATGAGTCGTTGCATTTTTGTGTGCCTATGTTTTGATGATATTTTACTTATGTTTTGCTTGAATAAAAAACAAAATCTAATCTTTTTCAATAAGAAGACATTGTTTAATTGATCATGATTTATATGTTTTTCCGTATGGATATTTCATCACACATCAAC